GGGGGGGGGGGGGATGGGCACTGCTGGAATTGACTGATGCATTACTTACATAAATCGCTTCGGTCTGATCTTTTCCGTGCTTACATTTGAGAAGACATGGCATGCAGTTGAAAGAAACATATCAGGTACTTTTCAAAAAATAACAAAACATTGTTTCCTCAATTACCTTCGTTTCAAAGGAAGCGTTTACAATTCATTAACTTTAAACGGTTTACAGAGGGCTCAAAACTAGCGCATTCAGTTCCCTGGATTTTTACTAGAGAATTTTCCCAGCAAAATATTAAAAAAAAATAAAAAAAAATAAAGATCTGGTTTGCTAGATATTGATGCTAAAAGGTTTGGAAAATTCAAAATTCGGGAAACTTGACGGAACTGAGTACGAGCTTCGCGTTTTGTAATCCTTGCTGCAGTAAAACCTGCATTTTTGAAGTCTGGCAAGATAGGTTCTTGTATTTTGAGGTAGGTATCGGCAATGTAGGCCAAGTAGGTTCTTAATTAGGTTCTTATAATTAATTTCTATGAGGGAGATATATATGTTGATTACCAGGAAAAAAAAAAATAAACTTCGGTTTGGTAATTAAATATAAACTATTTATTCACAACTGCATTATGTATTTTCTTGAAAGAATAAATTTGAAATCTCAAAGTCACACTCCTTGGTTAAAATGTTTATCATAATTTAACTGTAACCCACAAGTGAGAAACTGATTCATCTTGCTTGGCTAAACAGCGGGTTTTTAATGTACTTTGCTTGGAGTATGCTCTGTGGTGTTTATAACACATTTTGAAGGGCTCTTTCCTCTGTCTGTGTTTTATATTTTCTACTTAGCTCGATGTGCAATATAATCATGCAACAAATAAATAAATAAATAAATAAACAAATAAACAAACAAACAAACAAATAAATAAATAAATAAATAAATAAGTGAATAAATAACAAAAACAAAATTGGAGATATCGGAACCCCCGCGCTGTCGTAGAAGTGCGCCCTGATTGGTTGAAATTCAATCGGTCCTAGTCTTTCCCGACAATCAAAATGGCGGACGACATCCAGGGGGGGGCTTATTTTACTGTAATATCTAATAAGTCTTATATTATCCTTGATAAAGTGTCATTACGTAGAAACTAAGTGGAACTGGAGAATCAGACAGAATTAAGGTCTATTGCTAAGGTGTTTGATCAGCTCACTTATGCAAAGGCGACCAAGAAATCCGGGATTTGGTCGAGAATCAGCTGCTGGGAAAACAGCTGATGTTTCGGACGCATTACTGCGGCAGGCGAGAAAATCAGGGCAGCTGAATCTTTCTAACCGAGGCCTGACAAAGGTGCCAGACAAAGTATGGAGAGTGAATCTGGATGTACCACCCGAGGCAAGGAGCGTTTCACTGGATTGTACAGAAGACGATAAATGGTGGGAACAGGTGGAACTCACCAAACTCATCTTAGCTTCCAACAAGTTGATTGAGATTTCTTCAGAGATCGTGCAATTGCCTGCTCTGGCGGTTTTGGATGTGAGTATGCATAGTATTCCTGCTTCGTTGTGAGCCGGAGAGAAATAGGCAATTGAAAATTTAATGTTTGATGATTTAATTTAATGACAAAGGTCGGTAGTGTTGACCTCTCCACTATTGACGCTATTTTCATGATCATTGTTTTCCCAGGCGTAGTCAGTCGATAAACCGACAATCGATTTTAATCGCTAACAATCAATATCAATCAAAGATTGATATTTATTGCCGATAGCAATCGATGAAAATCGATGAAGGAAAAAGTTGTGAGTTATAGATTGTTTTTGATTGCCAATAGTAATCAATAGAGATTGATTCATTGTTTGGTATCGATTATTATCAATTGCTATCAGAAATTATTTTTGTCCCTTTACAAATTACATTATGAAAATTTGTCTACAATTTGTTATTTTAGATCCATGATAATGGTTTGACTTCTCTACCTGAAGAGATTGGACAGCTAGTGAATCTTAAAAGACTCAACTTAAGGTACTAAATGCACTACATCTATAAAATAACCAAGTTAGCTATTGTTTATACAGGGTTTCTTATTCATAAGCCAGAGCTCGACTTTAAGTACAAAATCTTCAGATTCAGTTGCCAGCAAAAGTATTTCTGTCAGTGAAAAGCATGAAAGATGGCAGATGGCAGTGAAAAGTTTGTTTGTCGCCAGTGATAAAAGATCAGTCGCATTGATGACCCCAGCAGTTGCAATGTTGAGCTACATTGTAACCCTATACCTGAATACTATAGATTTTAGCTTTGTCAAACTTCTGCCGATTGGTACTTCCAATACATAGTTTATTATCATATCAGCTTGTGCTCCTTGCACTGGGTTAATATTACAGAAAATAGTTGTGTAAGAAGTGTTTAGGGCCAGACAGAATAATGTAAACTAAGCCATGCCTGGGTTTAAGCGCACATGAGGGAGACCCCAGCAAACCTGGAGGTGCATTAGAATGGCAGATTTGGAGGGGAGAAGCTCATGTGGTGGGAAGTGAAACATTTTGCGCAAAATAGGCTCAGGTGGTGGGCACTAGTGGACAAACTATGTTCCACCAGGAACGAAGAGGATTGAATGAATCATTTGAAAGCCACCTCCTTCCAGAGATGTCAGCTATCCTTCTACTCTAGTGTGTAGAATTCAGAATGTACAGTAGATGAGCTTTGTTCTTTTGTTTTTTCAATTTTATTTAACTAGTCACAATAAATTGCCTTCCCTTCCTGTGTCAATGGCAAGTCTTGCTAGTTTATCTTCTTTGAAGATGGATCATAACTGTCTAACAACACTAGGAATAGAACTGTCACAGATGAAACAATTAGAGGAAATGGTAAGTGAACTGCACTCATTCAATTTGCCTTTTTCTACACTACATGGCGCTGTGAGAGTAAAGTGTCCTCTCTAAGATCGCAATGCAATGACCCCAGAGTCCAGTATGCTTATTGTTAGGCCACTACCCCATCAAACTCAGGGGGAAGACTTAAGTGTTTGTTGGAGAGAGGTACAAGTGGACCCAGGGGTCATTGTAGAGAGATGGGAGTCAGTGGAGGAATGACTGGACATGTATGTTGATATTGATGGCAAATAACTGATTTAATAATATGGATCATGATAATTCTCAATGATGATGACAGAAGTTATTTTTGAAACAATTCATGTTTGTTAAATCTGAAAAGCGTTGTCTTTTTGTTAAAATATATTAACAGCCTGCTGGTAACACAACCATTTCTTAAATTTAGTACTTTTTTATATGTGTAGGATTTGTCAAACAACTCTCTCAGTGAACTCCCTCCTTCTGTGGGTAACTGTCAAAGTTTGCGTCATTTGAACTTGTCTCAGAATGCTTTGGAACATCTCCCTCCTGAGACTGGTTGCTTACATGGTAAGAGGTTATATTATTAAATAAATTAAACATGTTAGGTAAATTGAAGTGAATGTGAAACTGAACAAAAACTGGGGATTGTAAGTTTATAATTCTTGTTACCAAAATGGATGTCTTTTCTGCCATCATTGTTTTAGTCATCAACTTCATCATCATTATTGTTTTGGCTGTTCTTCAAAGTGTCAGTTTAACAGTATAGTATCAAGTGCAACTTCCCATCTGATATTACAAGGATAGCATTCCTGTCCCCAGACCACACAATTGTTTTGGTCAGCACCATGAATCTGAGAATACAAAATGAATACTCTGTACATATTCAGATAATCTGGTCTGGTCGGAGGTTGCGATTTTTTGTGCTGACCAAAAGGACTGTGACCTCTGGGAATGAGAATGCAAGGAAAGGAAGTAACTTAATTTTCACTGTACCTGCCATCTGGTCAAGTGAAATTAAGAGATGCACCAAAAATGAATAATTCCTTTTTTTTGTTTCAGCATTGAGAGACTTAAACCTTAGCAATAACAAGTTTTGTGAACTTCCTAAAGGTGAGTCTTTTCGTTAACACTTTGCTTAATCAGAAAGAGTTAGAACAGAGTGTTGCTGACAGTTTGCTTGAAAGATTTACAAGGACCAAAGGCCAAAAACATGGTAGTAAGTTTTGTATTCTTAATATCTTGTTTCCTTGTATAAACATTAGTTACATTTTATGGCAGGTCCACACCTAGGCCTGTCCACAATATCTGCATATTTTTTGGGATATTTAGAAATTTCCGAAATATTTAGAAAATAATTATTAACTAAAGATGTTTAAAAAGTCTAGGGATATTTAGAAATATTAATAGCTTTTTTGGCTTAGCCCTGTGTTTTCCTTGCTATTCCCTTGAAACAAGACTCAGTTTTATGCCAGAAATAATCCAGCTCAGCGATTTCCCACTCGAAAAATGTATTCCATATCACTAAAACAAACAAATTTCAAATATGGCGGATACTGGTAACATCGAAGCACCTGAATCTTCTTCCTCAACCCCTGCCACTGTAAGAAATTTTAAAAATTTCGGCCTAAGTGATTCAAAATCGGTGCATTTTTACAACAAAAATAAGAGATATTTAGAGGGTTTTTCGAGATATTTAGAAATTTTTTGGTGATATTCAGGAGATTTTTTGAGAATTTCCGGAAAGATATTCAGGTGGTTTTGTGTGATATTTGTAGAAAGGCTTTTCCACACCAGCCCTAAGGTTGCCATACTCAGACCTGCCTTACCAAAAAGTATATGTATTTACATGTATGTATGATCATTTGCTGGACTCTGGGCCAAGCAGTGTGGGTTTGAACATGTGCTGAACAAACTGTTTATCAGCAAATTTAATGTGTGTCAGTGGTTAACCCTGTGATGGACTAGCATCCCATCCAGGGGGGAGTAAGAATACTCCTGGTTGCTTCGTGCTACAGAAACTGGAAATAAGCAGTAGCCTGGGATGACTTGAACATAGACTTAAGGTGGCTCCCTATAGTTTTACGATTGCATGCGCACATAGGACGAAAGCTCAAGTAATCTGCATGTGCTCAAAGGAAAACATAAGTGTTTTTCTATTACTATGACGTCAACATGAGCACAAAAAGAAAAACTGACATCGAATTTTCTTGCTTTTCCTTAGGTGAATTTTTTTTAAATTTGGCTCAGTTGTAACCACATATGATTCCTATAAAATACCCTATTTTTGTTAAAATCTGTCAGAGCTAATGTAATATATCTAGAAGAATGACAAGTTCCAGAATATTGAAAAAATCGTCTGAACAACCTTGACTTTTTACCAATTCAAAATGTCAGGCAATATCATTTACATGATGTGGCAAAGTATGAAAAAATTTCATTGAAGGAAAGTATAAATATTAAGGAGTTTAGGCCAAAATGAGGAATATATCGGCCTGTCATTAGATGAGATGCTGCCATGGTAACGGCCTTAATCCAAAAATTGACACCAAAAAATAAGCCTTATTTTAACAGTACCCATAATGGTAAATCTCTACAGGGAAAACTTTAAGAGAAATTAACTAAGTTTCCTTTTCTAACTCATGCTCTATAGGAAGGGTGCTCGTAAATACTCTAGGGAGCCACCTTAACCTTGCTAGTAATATTTAAATAAGATTAAATTTGGAAATACCGTTGACTATAAAGATAAGCCAAAATTGGAATATATTTTGGTGCCATTTTGGCACCTTGATCAATTGAAGAATGTAACGGAAAAGATAACTTAAATAGAATAAGTTAAAAAGATAAAAATAACTGTTTGATGTCAATCCAGTGAGGTGTGTTATAAAGCCATGACTGAGAGACATGTCTGTTCAGTGGGCTAAACAAATAGTTTCATGTAGATGGAGTCCAAGTCGGTGTTTTAAAAGACTTGGTTTCTTCCTGCGGATCCACAGCATTTTGAAGATTAAGCAATCAAGCTTCGATTAATTACAAACTAAGATGCTTACTGATTGTAAGTAAGTTACACAGTTTAATCTATTTTTCAGATCTTGGAAGACTAAGTAATCTTGAAAGATTGGATTGCCGGCACAATCAACTCACTGGTGTCCCTATACTGTCTTCTTGTCAGTCCCTGAAGGTAGGAGTATTTTGGAATCTGTATTTGAAAAGAAATTCGATTGAGAATTAGTTTGTTCCTACTGGCTTGTTCTTTTCCATACACATTGTTGGCCCATTTTTTTTTCAATGGTGAGGATGTGTAGTGAGGATGGGAAGTTATCAATAATTATTAATGTATAAACTCGTATGTTGATGTGGTTAATGTAATTTATGCAAAGTTTGACTCTAGCCCATAGTGGTCAGCAGCCTTTCTGGGTGACCATGCTCTGTGGGGTCTCATACAGGGTTTTTGTAGGGCTTGTGTGTTTTGCTTGCCAGCTGTGTAAGAATGTGCAGTTTGCGTTGAGTGCCATTCATGCTTGTAGTGTACTTTTACTCCCTTACAGTGTATCTCTCTCCCTTTCACTGGTGATAGTAAGTAGGGAATATGTATGGGCGGTAAGTATCTCCATTGACTCCATCAGTGCGACGGTGCATGGTGGTTGCCCCCTTCTTAGGGTTGCCATGGATACCTACATGTTCTGCTCGAGTCTCATGTCTTGCCGGGCTCCACCATCCTTTAAATGCCTTTTCCATTGAAGCTCATGATTTGGCAATGAGTTTGAGTTAAGGTATACACCTCAGAGCTACTGTAACATGGCAAGGCAGTTGGTATAGACAATGAATATGGAACATTGTTGTACACCCAAGATGAGACTATTTATCAGGAAATTATTGTTTCATTCTCAACAGGAACTCTATCTTGGTAACAACAAAATAAGCAGTTTGAATGGAGAAAGTTTTTCTTATATCCGTTCACTGTCAATATTTGATTTTAGAGACAACAGAATTAACAGGTAAATATTCACAGTGCAAGACTACACATTGTTATTTGAAATGACGATAACACCACTGTTTCTTTTCTCATTACTGTTGTACATGTAAGTTGTGTTTCTTGGTATTTTAGTATTCCAGATGAAATCACTGTGTTGAAAAAGCTAGAAAGACTCGACTTGGCAAATAATGATATTTCTGGGTGAGTATTGTATGTTTACATTCGCAATGACAAAACTAGATGTAACCACAGTAGCCTATTCGTGATATAAGAGTACAACAATTTTATTCAAATAGAAAAACTGAAGCAAATAGCTCTTACCATGTTAATCAGTAATTTTTTTGTGATTCCCTGTATCTGTACAAATCCAGGGGTTGTGAATGATCCTTCAAAATCCATGCGTGTGCATCTCACAGTCTCAATTTTTTTTCACAAAGCTGTCTCGCAGTCTTGATTTTTTGCAAGGCTAATAAAGTGTTGAGGTACTAATGGTTTTTTTTTATATGAATGATGTCTGAATGTCATGAGGTCACATTTGAAATATACAATGTAAGTCTCAGTCTTGCAATTGAAGAAGTCTAAATATCTCAGGCCTACAAAGACAATTGCTAGTCTCGCCTTCTTGCAGTGTCTCACATTTACCATTCACCACTGCTAAATCCTCTTACTATGCAATAGGAACACCAACTATGAGAAATTCATGGATTTGTGAAAATTGAAATTGTGGTAAATTTTAATGTGGAGAATAGAATGAGGCACTATTTTCCAATTCAAGCAATTCTTTTGAGTTTTTCGCTGTCCCCGGCAGTTCATGTGTTAATAGTAAACTTCATAATTTTGTCTCTGTCCATAAACAAGGCAGTAGGCAGGGGAAGTAGCCAAATGGTTAGTGCACTAGAACAACTACCCTGGAGTTGAACCCTGGACAGAGTTTTGGTGTTGTGTTCTTGCACAAGACACTTTACTCACATAATGCCTCTCTCCACCCGGGTGAATAAATGGGTAGCGGCAAATTTAATGTTGGGGGTACCTTGCGATGGATTAGCATACCATATAGGGGGGAGTAGAAATACTCTTAGTATGTTGCTTCATGCTACAGAAAGTGGGGATGAGGGCCTCCCTGTTGGGCCACTGTGCTCAAATACAGATTTTACCCTCACAATATCATTAGTGTTAAATAGGTTCACCAGACATTGAGTTGGAAGAAATGGCTGGTGGTGATAGACTGAAATTTCAGGACTTGTTTCTTATAAATTTAATATTATTATTACTTCTACAGTGACACAAAACAGTGTCCATTTGATAACTATATTTGCAGACTAATACACAGTTATTGTGTTTGCCATTTTGTATTGTAGTCTTCCATACACCATGGGTAGAATGGAACATCTTAAATCACTTGTTCTGGATGGAAATCCTTTGAAGAGTTTACGAAGGGATGTTGTTATGGTAAGGATGGCATTTCTTTTACAATATGTGGTTCCAGAAAAATCTGGACCCACCCAAAGTCTGAGGATTATTGGAAATTCAGTGGAGAAGGGGCTCTCAAAAGCCAAAATGTTTAAAGGAAATTTATTAGAGCGATTGGGACGGTGGGAGGGGAAATTAAAAAAACCCTCCATGGGATATTTTGTGGAACACCACAATAACGTAATTTAATTCTTGTCAAATGTTGCTCAAATTGCATCATGTTTGTAAACCTAAAATGGTTACGTGTACATGTATTGCATGCAATGTTGCAGAAGTAGAAAACTGAAACTCCTACATGTACATGTACATCTACATTTCATGCAACAAATTCAAAGTGTGATCATGAAATGAAATTAGAAACAAAATGTTCAGAAATAACACAATGCAGTTCCCCTTGGTACAGTTAGGTGAATGTTTACAGGAAAGGATTGTCTGTAGGTGTGCTATGTATTTACTATCAGACACACTAAGGCAAGATGTAATATTTTGACAGAATGACACTGTAGCTGATTACCATGTTTTACATCTCTGCATGTTTTTAACATTGTCAATATTGTATGTAGTGTAAGAAAGAAAGGAAAATTTTGTTATTCAAATTAAATGCAAATTCTGAAAATTGCAAAAATTAATCCCCACCAGGGAAAACCAGTATTTCACTATCATAAAAATCAGTTCCTGCAAAATGCAAGAAAATGAGCGATCCACAAAATTAAACTCTGGCAGAAATGTTGTGCCACATAATAAAGTAATGTTGTTACAAAGTCATGTATACAATCTGAGTGTATTTAATAATCTTGTTTTTATATCCTCTTCGACTTCAGAGAGGTACTCAAGCCATTATGAAACATCTAAGAAGTCGCATCCCAGGTGTGAAAAGAATCGGTAACAAGTAAAGTAAAGTTATTTAACCCATTGACTCCTGTACTGGCCGTAACCGGCTGTGATGAACCTTGGCCTTTATTCCACTTCTGATGTCATCATTGACCAAAACTGGCATCATCTATGCTCAACTTCTGCAGGAGGAAAAGATCTTTCCAACGATACCCAGATCTGAGTGATGGGCCCAATGGAGCCTGAGATATGCACAAAAATGCTCAAAAAGTTGAGTGAAAAACTCAGAGCAAAATTTCCTACCACTACACGTGGCTAGTCCATGGCAAAAATTGTCTGTCTCCATGATGCTTTCTCAGAATGTTTTAAACCGGAAGCAAGCCCGGTAGAAGGTCAATCACTGCAGCAAAAAGAAAAGAGAAGGAGAAAAAGGAAAGGCAAAAGAAATAATAAAATAATCGAAAAGCCTAAAGACGTAGGTCACTTTCTTGTCCAAAATTTTGATTTCTGTGCATGCCCGAGCAAAAATGTTATAAAACGCGATGCTAGTGGAAAGAAAGGCATGCTGTCATGTTGCAATGCCTTTTTGAGTAGATTGGAGCTAATTTGGCCCATATCCAGCCTGAAAATCTCCAGAATGTCCAAAAATGTGTTTTTGGCAAAAAGCTCTAGGAGTCAGTGGGTTAAGACTAGTTGCTTACAAGGTGCAGCACTTCAACATGAAGTGGCTAAGGGTCTTGAATCTCTCTCCTGTATGGATCTCTGATGTTTCCTGTGTCAATTTACTAGTATCACTTTACACTCCTAAAGGTGAAGAGAGGCATTGTGATAGTAAGTGTTTTGTGCAAAAACATGACACAATTACTGCAGCAGTGTTTAAACCTGAATCACTTGATCTTGAATCAGATGTTCTAACAATACAATGGGAGGCGTGGCCTCCTAGTTAGTGCGCTTGACTCTGAGTCAAGTGTTCCTTTCTCAAGCCCTGGCTAGGGACGTTGTGTTGTGTTCTTTGGCAAGACACTTTACTCTCACACTGCCTCTCTCCACCCAAATGTATAACTGGGCAACAGCGATTTTGATGCTCGGGGTAACCCTGCAATAGACCAGTATCTCATAGATGGGGGAGTAGAAATACTCCTGGTTGCTTCATACTACTGAAACTGGGATAAGCGCTGGCCTGATGGGCCACTTGCCTTGTATGCAGACTTTACCTGGACAACACAATGTGTTAGGGACCATGCATTGCCCCTTAATCAAATGTCAGGCATTACCAAGACTAAACACAAGCCAATAAGACTTACAATTATTGTCATGCAGAGGCACCTGTGTTTGGGTTTAGTTAACCATTAGGCTGGTTTTCATCTCCAGTTTCAGTAGTGGCCTTGAAGTGATGAAGTGTTTTTTTTTACTCCCCCATGGATGTGAAGATAGTCCATAACAAAGTAAACCTCAGCATTAAATTCGTTGGTACCCATTGGTGTACCTAGATTTTAACAGGTGTCTTGTCTAAGAACACAGCACAGTGATCTACGCAGGAACTTGAACAGTCACCACTAAATCCAGAGGCCAGTGCACCTCCTACAAAGCTAGCAATAGACAGAGCAAATGGACAAAAACTAATCAATCATTCTCAAGTGTTTACATCCAGTTGTATCAGGGACATAACACTGTGACCAACAAGTAGTCTTTCATCTAATGCTCTCTGCTCAGGTTCACCAATACAAGCATCTTGAGACCCACCCTGGTCAAAAGCGACACATGATCTAGTTGATGATAGCTGATTCTCCCCTAACTACCATCAACTATCATGAACTATCATAAGCCTGGTAAAATAGGAAAAAGTATCATCAAGAATCATTGCAAATGAATACATGAAATATCATATATTTGAACTGCGGAGAAAGAGATGAAGACATGATTGATCATCGCAGTTATACACACAACTTCAGCAGTTACAAAATTAAAGCCTGAAAAAAAAATTCAGGCTTGAACAGGATTCAAACCCATGACCTCTGCGATACCGGTGCAGTGCTCTACTAACCAAGGTATCAAGTCAACTGGGAGCTGGTCATTTTGTGAGTTCATAATATACAGTATATTACGAACTCACAACATGACCAGCTCCCAGTTGGCTTGATAGCTCAGCTACAGTAGTAGAGCACTGCACTGGTATCGCAGAAGTCACGGGTTTGAATCCAGGCTTTAATTTTGCAACTGCTGAAGTTGTGTGTATATCTGCGATGATCAATCATGTCTTCATCAAGAATCATTGGTTGTGAATTTGAACAAGCTCAAAGTAAATGAAGAGGCACGGTGGCCTCATGGTTAGTGCACTTGACTCCAGATTGAGTAGTCCAGGTTCAAGCCCTGCCCAGGGACATTGTGTTGCGTTCTTGTGCAAAACACTTTACTCTCACAGTGCCAGATGGAAGTGCACGCTATAACTATCATCCATTTCCTGCTTGATCAGGGCTTCTTAATCTCATCGATAATTGATCAAGTTTAAACAAAGGAAATCATGAATGTGATGGTTTTTGGATATCTGGTCTTAATTAGCATAGATTTCTATGATTTTATTTCTCTGTTTTCTCCTTAGTTTTAGTTTCTTTTCAGAAGATATATCAAACACTCAAGACAGTGTTTGACCACATTTCCAAACACCTTGAAGTTCGCCAAAAATACTCCACTACATGTCGTATTTTCAACTCTCTTCTCAGTGTTTGGAAATGTGGTCAAACATGGTCTCTCATGTTTGATATATTACTTAATGGTTACATTTATACTTGGTATTTATTTTGTTTTTATCAGAAGATGAAAAGCAGGAAGACTTGACAGATGCTCCAGTGACATCAATACCAGTCAGTTCAGCAATACCAACTGCATCAACTGGATTGGACACACACACAATCAGTAGCACAAAGACACTCAATTACAGGTCAGTTAACTAGACACTATGACATGAGGGTCTTGAATGATAGGTGAAGTCTGTGTAGGGCCAGTGCCTCACAGAGCCGGAGCTTATCCCAGTTTTCTGTAGCATGAAACGACTAGGAGTATTTCTACTCCCCCCCTCTGGTTGGAATGCAATCCATCTCAGGGTTACCCCCAGCATTAAGTTCGTGAGTACCCATTTATACACCTGGGTGAAGAGAGGCACTGTTAGAGTTCAGTGTCTTGCTCAAGAACGCAATGCAATGACCCCAGCCAGGGACTCAAACCCTGACAGCTCAATCTGGGGTCCAGCGTACTAACCATTGGGCCACCGTACACCGTACCTCCACTTGAATGATAAGGGTACATAACAATTGCACATGTTGCAATAATGATTTTGTTTCATTACACTCTACATTATAAAGGGGAGATCAGACCTTACAAAGGCATCTCTATTTGCTGCTACTGGACCATTTATGATCACCCTACCCACCCAGCCCATGGTACATTAGGCTACGACACCAGGGTGACTGACCCTACTTGTAGTCTTATCGGCAATGTCGTGAATTCTTTAATCTCCCTTCAAGTTGATTTGTGAAGGACAGGAAATAAGGCCAAGGAAGCAATGATACGAGCCGAGGCAATGTAACAGTGACAATGCAACTGATCTGTGCTGTGACACACAGTGCTCAGCATTATCACACCAGTTAATAAGACAAGTTGAATTTGAACCTAAACTCTTCTATACAGCATGCAGGCATCCAGCCAACTGAGCTAACCTAGTCTGCCCACAGACATTTATTTTTTGTCATCGGTTATTTTTTTCCCAGGGCCACCCCTTTGCATTTGGGCTTTTTTTCAAATCCCTTGTGGTTAATACTTTGACTCATTGCGATCTTGACGTACTCACAACGAAATAGAGGGTCTGTAGAGAGACTAGAGCTAATGCAACATGGTGAGAAAATGAAATCTTTGAGGTCTGACAATGAACTATTAATTTGTTAATCCTCAATTGCTGTTTCTGTAGCCTTATTGTCTAGGTGGGCTCTATCTCCTTCACTTTGTTGGATCTCATTCCCAATTTAAACAACAACATCTACCTTAAAATTTTTTTTTTTTGCTATTTTTAATTCAGTAATAAAAAAGCCAGCAGCATTGCTGATGATGTTTGGGATGCAGCCATATCAGCAGAGGTGTCCACTGTTAACCTCAGCAAGAATACACTGAATGAAGTACCAGCCAGGTGAAACGGGTTTGCACATAATAAACACATTTGTAACATCCACGTACTGGAATGAGGGACACTTATTAAAGTAGGGAAGTTAATTGGAATAGGGGGGAACTATAACAAAAACACCTTTGGGGAGGGATGATGTGAAGATGAGTCTTAACTGTGGTCAAAGGGGAGGTTAAAGAAAACTCTTGTTTTGTCATTCGCCTGTGTGCAGACACATTCTCCTTTATCCTTTGCATCACATGGAAGAGCAAAGGAAACATGAGATCTCTGTATGCAGGTTAGTCTGGTCAGTGATGATAAGTGCTCAGCACATGGAACCTCAAAACTCAGCCATAGAACAATATCCACCACATCCACAATGCTTGAAGATGTTAATATGAAAGAGGCAGCAGTGTGGCCAAGTGGTTTAGGGCGCTGGTGTTGTAATCCGGAGGTCCTGGGTTCAAGGCCTCCACCCTGCCACAAGCAGGATTTGTTTCTCGGTAGTCCCGAGTTCAAATCCTCGGTCACGCTTTGCAAATAGCCAATTGGTCTACCTCCTGCCAGTTGGGATTTTTAACTATGTTACGTTTACTTGAAATACTTGTTTCCTTTGTTTCAGTGGCATGCCTGTAAACTAGCTAAGCTTAGTGCTTGTATAGCTAAGTGCATGACCACTATAAATAAGATTTACATTTTTTTTACATTTACATTACATAAGGAGTTAGTCCACGTATACAGCCCTTGCACTTCTGTGCTTTTAGTTGTCCAAAACTTAGATTGTATTTAACCACATAAATATATCGTTTCTCTTTCCTTTTCTTTCTAGGTTACTCTCTTTAGGAAAATCTCTTACCGACCTAAACATGTCGTTGAACAAGATTGCCAGTTTGCCTTCAGAGTTTGGCTGTTTGGTGAAACTTTCATCATTAGATTTAAGGTATTTTCTAAAACGTTAACCACAGTAGGGTTTGAAACCAGACTTTAAAGTTAGAACCACCTTTTACAGCATACTAAATGGTGACCACATGAAAGTACTGCTCAATAACTTTCGTTTGAATTGTCACACACAAGGGTTCATCTAGAGACTTTGTGACCCAACACTTGACTTTTGAAGTGATAGCTCTTATGGTTCCCAAGAATAACAGCCTCTTATTTCTAGTTACTTAGTTAATTGTTGATAAGAACTAAGGGAATCACTAGGAGTTAGAGTTTAGAACTAACATTGAAAAAACTGTTTAGCATTAAATAAAGAGAATTAGATTTGAATCTTGCAATCACAGAAAGCGAACTTATTGATACATGTAGCTAACCGCGCCGCTTTGTGCTGCTTCTTTGCAGCATCAACCAGCTGAGTGATGTGCCTGCAAGCTTCTCCAAGCTGACCAGTCTCAGAGAAATAAATATCTCCAATAACCGGTAAGTTTATGTCACTCTTCCGCAAACAAAGCAATAGCACTTGTAGTGTTATGTATTAAAGGTAAAGTCTGCGTCGGGCCAAGTGGTTCACACTGCCGGAGCTTATCCTGGTAAGTCGCATGTTTTCCTGTCGTGGACTCACATATGAAAAGGACGGGGGTGCTCGTCGTACATTTAAGGGGCAAAAAAGCAAAAACCGGTTTTGGTACCTCTTTGGGTGTTCAGCCTCAAAAGGTCCACAGCGGAAGCTTTCGCGGTGCCTTTTAGGGTATTGAACTGAAAAAAAATATGACCATTTCGTTTATAATGAACAACTTATGTTGCACAGGATAGAGATGTATGAGAATGCTTTCATAGTAGAAGTAGGAGTAGAAGGTATTGAAGACAATCACGTGTTTGATGATCCACTAAATTGGGCAGACAGACCGACAGACACACAGACAGTCAGGCAGACAGGCAGACAGACAGTCAGGCATGCCTAACTGACTGGCTGACAGTCTGGCCAGCCAGATTATTTACCTCGCTTGACACTACAAACTTGAATCCTGATTTCATTCGTCAATTTAGAGTTACATGCCGAGCTTAAACTCTGCCAGAGCTTGCTTGCAAAACTCTGATATCTTGATTGTGTTTTGTAGATTTACCAACTTACCATCTGTTCTGTACTCGTTAAAGACCTTGGAGATTATCTTGGCCAGTGGTAACCAGGTGAGAATAGGAAACTTCTACTGGGCTGGATAGGTGTGCATCGGTTGTGGATCAGAAACCATTTTGAGCAAATTCTTGTAGTCCTTTGCAGACCTCACATTTCTTTACCCTTATGAGACACGGGCCTAGCTCTCTTTCTACCCATTACAGAGCCACTAATTTTAACACTAACACCTTTGTTGGGTGGAAAGGTCGTCTTTAAGGTCGACGATCAGAGCTCTGGTATCAACTGTAACCGCTTTATTGGGTATTTATTCTATTTTATATATTGTAGATTCAACTAATCGAGGTTGATAGCTTGTTGCCGATGTCTTCTCTTTCCACACTGGACTTACAAAACAACAACATTGCTCAGGTTCCTCCTCAACTAGGAAATGTAACCCAATTAAGGTGAGATGCTCGATAAAAAAGTGTTGTTTACTGATGTATCCTTGGGTGCTTTCCATTATGTCAAAGATTCCGGAAATCTCGGTCGAAATTCAAATGGAAACGTCCTTCTCGGTTTCTTCCGACCGGAATACGATTCGGGATCACCTCTGGAGGTGGTCCACTTGTTTCAGTCGGAATATTCCGACCGAAATTCGCCGTTCCACTTTTGACAAACCGGTTTTTTGCCCTAATTAGGGAATTCGGAAAAGATTAAAAAATGGTAAGAGCCATTTCAATTGGTTGGCCCGGTTTAATCGGAAAATTTCGTTCCATTTTTCTCGGGTATTCCTAATTATCTCTGACCGGTCGGTTTGGCATAATGGAAAGCACCCCTGGTAACTTGGAATATTGATTCCTTTACGTTTAGTCGAACCTCTCCACAACGGCCACCTTGGGGACAGAGGAAATAGGCTGTTGTCGCGAGGTGGCCGTTATGGGGAAGTAGGGGTATAATATATAACATCTGTTTTTTTCGGGTTGCAACATTTCTTTTCTCAAAAACTTTTTTTTTAGCATATTAAGTGTACGTAATACGATAAAAATATATCAATGCAACAGAAGCTAAACAGAAACAGAGAGCAACGAAGCGCGGTACGGATCAAGTCTGGTGACCTTTTACAATAAAAAAGGGGATTTTGTATACACCGTTCGTCTTCACTGATTAACTGGCCGTTGTCAATTGCCGTTAGTGGATCCTTCTTAGGTTGACATCTCTGTAAGGCTGCCACTTCTCCTAAGAGTACACGACTTTAAGTCTTTTGACTAACAGAAACTACAAAATAACCTTCCATCCCTCCCTTTCAGGTCTCTGCAGTTAGAAGGGAACCCGTTCAGAAACCCTCGAGCAGCTGTTCTTTCTAAAGGAACCCAGGCTCTTTTGGCTTACCTGAGAGACCGTATACCCACGTGACATGCCCGAGTGTGGCATAGCTGACCGAGGGGAGGGGGTGTGGTTGGAGAAATACCCCTCCTTCCCCTCTCGCCACAAACACACACTGACGTCCTTAAATGGATTTGAAATGGACACTTCGATTCTCGATTATGATGACGTTGCTCGAGTGCAATTTTTAATGTAGAGGATAATTGTAAATTCGGAATATGTATTCCGTGACTTGTTTCCAAGGTTTTTTTTTTCAGAGATCTAAGTCTTGGTCATAAACACGTTTTTAATTAATAAAAGATCACTGAGGTCAAGGATTAAAACAGTACACCCTGAATACACCCAATCATCTGAAAGAGTAATTTCAAGTTGGAACCCTCGCGCATGATGAATGACCACACTTTTTTTTTACCCCGGACAACAATTTCCTGTTTTTGTTTCGTTGTTACACACAACTCACAAGGTAGGGGAGGGAAAAAAGACTTCTTTCAGCCTGATTTTTAAATTTTCAAAAATGTTTTAAAAAATAAGTAACCGGATGTAAAAAATTGGAAGTCGTTACTCTCTATTGGTTTACTAACTTTAAAGCACTACCAGTACTTTCGTATGGTTTGAAGACAAAATGGCTAAATTTTGTGACCGACAAAATTCACTGCGACTTCGGCAGAATATTGAGCACGCGATGCGATATTTTAATGCTTTAAACCCTGTAACTAATCGAGAATTTTGTATACACGATGAAAATTTAAATGGCAACGTGGTAGTATTCCACAAACATGTAGACACAATTACACAAAGGAGATTCATTACTAATAATGACATTTGTTTGAACTCAGTTATACGGCCAGTGAACAAGCGGCAGATTTCACTGATCGTGTTTGTTTATTTTCGTGATGTAAGGGGAATCCCCTAATACCTGTGTTCACTAGAGTATGAAGAAACGATACTCTGTTGAGTTACATCAAGAAACGTTAATTCTACCAGGTGGATTTCAAACATTTCACTGCTCTCGAGGGAAGCTCTCATCCTATATTGTTTGTGGAAAAACGTTTCTATCTAAGAGGAAACTCGCCTAGCGAGCGCAATCTGCAAAGGCTGAGCGGTCGGTTTATACTTAATGAAGTTTTTATCTCCACTGCATCATGTCTGACGCCATTCTGAGTGCATTCACGCGAATGACACTCATCGCAACAGGAATTGGGGTTTGTTTCGCTTCGCCAGGTAAATGCTGTTTACAAACGTTTTTAGTGTAGTCAGGAAGTTAAGTTAAGCCCCTCTTGCACCGTTCTGGGTTTCTTTGCGGTCGATTCACGAAATGTATATTTCTGCTGGTGAAGCACATATTTAGCACTTGAAAACTGGTTGATGTAATTTTGTAAAAGTATAACGTAAGTTGTGTTTCAAGAAATTGTCTACCTTTAAAGTGGTTCTACATCGACAGATAAGAGAGTTCGTAAGATAATTTTAGAGGTGCTTGTTTATTTTGTTGCCTAATTTTAATGTTAAACCCTTTTAAACAGACGGCCACGTGGCTTTAAGCCAACGTTCGCGCATTTGAAGAATGCGAAGCAATATTTAGTTTTACCTTGTTACGATGGATCGTAGGCAGGATCGGTGCAAATTCAAACTGTAACTATCTTATAACAAAATGAACAATTTTTTCAGGGAAAAAACTTCAAAAGGAATCACCTCGAGAAAAGTGCTAAAGTTGCACTTTCATTCATTTGCTCATATCATGCAGACTTCAGAGGTCATAGGTATCACATGATTGGGATAGTTTTTTTAGCCAATAATTTGTTATTCAAATCAGTTATTTATACTTTAAAGCCAATCCGTGCAGTGCGCCGATTGTTTTTTTTTACCAAACAGGCCTTTTTATCCAAAAACTAGGCTTGGCGGAAGAAGTTATTGCCATATTTTTTTTTTCTGGGGGGAAGGGGTTAAATAGTTTGGACGGTTGTTGAGATTAGTGGTAGAAAAATGTTGCGTGACTCTTCTTTGTCGCGCGAGTCACGCAAACATCTGCTAAGAGGTTTCTCTGGCACACACCTCTTGGCTAAGAGGTTGCTAAGAGGTTTCTCTGGCATCCTGACCAACTTTATTCCTGTATGTTCTTAATTTCCGGACGATCTAATCCTTGCCGGTTATCCTGAGAACGCAGGTTTGTTTAAAATTTCTTATTTCTTTTTTTAATTTCACTGGCAATTTTTCAGTCTAGGGTTACCTGACTGAGATGTTTGTTTATTACACATGGCTAGTTTTCCTTTAATGCCTCCCCCATCTTGTCTTGCCAGAGTAACCATAAATGCCATGAAGGTCCGGGGGACGCAACTTTCAAAAACACCTGGGTTCCGCATGAAGATTATTTGGATGCGGTGCTGCCTCGGCTTTAAGCCGTGTTCTGAGATAGGAAATCCAGAAACTAAAGGACTTCTTTGATTAAAATCCTGACCAACTTTATTCCTGTATGTTATAATTTCCAGAAAATACTTCACCCAATCAGCGTGACACACAATCTCTAGTTTTCCTCCAAGAACCACCGTATATACACTATTATGTGACGCGGAACCAACCTGCTAACCTGACTTGGGTCGCAGTGAACGTCTGCCGAATTCAAATCAAGTGTAACGGCAAGAAATTTAAAGATGGACGCATTAGAGTGTGTGGAAAGTCTTGTCGCACCTGTAGAACAAGGACAAGGACCAAGATAGTGACTGCCGCTGATTTTCCCAAGAATGCGAAGAGTATAACGTGCAGGTGCAAAGTGTGGGGAAAGACAGTTGTTCGACAGTCTGATATAATAGTCATTGACAAGGCTTGTAAGTATCAATTCAAGATTGGTCTGTAAATCGACTTACTTAAGGGGGAACATTGAGGGAGGGGGTGGGTGATTTTGATCACGAACACTCCGGAAGAAAAATTCACTCACGTTCACATTCTTTGCCCCTCGCTAATTCTTTGATACAATTAACAATTTGATTATGAGCTCGAGATTGCTATCACGCAAAGAAATCGAGAGCACATAATCTAATTGTTTTAATATAAATCTACTCGTCGCTCAAAACTTTATCTAAATCCTCTTCACGGACACCTCGAAAAGGCAAAGACATTTTGTTAACAAGGGCACACTGCTACGCTACTCACTATCCACAACAAAATAAATAGTGAGTAGCGTAGCCAATAAGAGAACGCCATTCGTGTTAGAACGCCAGTAAATTTATACTAATAAGCAATTAGATTATTCGCTCGAGATTTTGAGGTGATTTTTGATAAGGCGGGGGGGGGAAACAATCCTCACATACCTGCCGGATTTAAACTTACTGGATAGGTACTGCTTAGGGTGTTTAAACTGACCACCGAGAAAGTTACTCTTTTCGGTACTTTTTAGGAAATTAAGCCAGAAAACAATCCAGCAAGTTCAGAAGTAGTCAGGGGTTAAAACTGCAACGAGAAAAAAGGGCTTCTCAGAAATTCTGTTGCCTTTTCTACAGGGCTGTGTTTCCCTCAACTTTTAGAGCAATTTGAATGTAACAAGATGTCTTAAATTAGAGTTAACCGGATCCAAGATTAAATACGGAAGTTCCATTTCCTGTTGCCAGTTTTTTTTGTACTTGGATCTTCAGGTCAATTATTCTGCTCGTAGTGACTTTGATTAATCTTGATCTGTTTAATATCTTGTAGTTCTTCGCCGTAATTTTGGCACAGTTCAGTTGTATCACGTAGTACCTCCCAACACAACTGTGGTCTTAAAATGTAGGCCTCCATACGGTTCACCTCGACCAAACATCACGTGGTACAAGATTGGCAAGCCATCGCTTTTGCTTGGGCATGATGGCAGGCGTCGCATCCGTTTGACTTCAAAGAAAAACTTAATCATCAAGCGCGTTCAGATGGGGGACTCGGGCGAGTATCAGTGTGTCGCGAGGAACATGGCGGCAAGACGAGTAGGCCCGGTGATCAAACTTGACGTTGGAGGTTTGTCCTTTGTTGGAAAGTCATTACATAATGCTACAATCCTCCTCTCACGAATTGCGCCTGGATAAACAAATCAGAACAAGAAGCTAAAAGGAACGGCCATTGGTCTCTCCACAGACTCTCTATTTTGTCTTGAGTTCGCTAGCAAAAGTATCAACCGCAGGGGAATTGAAAAAACCCGAACCCCAGGGGGTTTGTCTCTCCCCAGGGAGGGAGTGACAATTTTTTTTTTCTTACGCTTTGCGACCGCTTTCACGCTCCACGCTCAAAGAAAAATAAATCGGAGCAAAAAAAAAAAACAAAGCAAAAAATCTGTGGAGAGACTGCCATTGGTCTACTTTTCAGCCGGTTCGTGCTTATCAAGATCTCATTACAGTATATACCTCTTATAATTACCTTTAAAAAGTAGGTGGTTGGTTCTCGAATTTTCAGTCATTTTGAGTGAGGCTGTGGCATGTTGTGAACGTTAGGTTTATATCGGAATCAGTTGTCAGTCTTTCTTTGATTTTCTTTACCGGAGTTAAGTTATCAAATTTAAGTACTACAGACGTGCAAGAAAACAATCGTCTAATTTCGGTACTCGTGTTTTCAATTTTCCACCCATGAATTTATGACTTCATTTGTAAATTTTCCAGCGCATTTGGACTCGGTCATAAATTCCAAAAAGAGACAAAGGTACGGAAGAAGGAATAAGCCACCGTGTGATGGCTGAATTCTTGCAGAGATTTTTCTAATTTTGATTCACCTTGTCTAATTATGATACTTTCAGCAATTTAGCATTTTTCTATACTTTCTGATCGTTAGAGAACATCTCCACCGCTGATTGTCCAGTGCACCAGTGGTCGTGTACAGATCAGTATTCACCAGAGTGTCAAAATGGAAGCAACCGATCATTAATATGTGGTATGTACACATACTGGTTTCACCAGCTTACCTACATTTTAAAACGTTTCGCTAGTTTGACCAGTTTGACCAGTTTGACCAGTTTGACCAGTTTGACCAGTTTGACAAGTTTGACTTGTTTGACCAGCTTGGCTGGTTTGGCTGGTTAAATATGCATCCAGGAAGTCCTGGATAAATGTGTGTAAATGCGAGCCAGCAAATTTATTTGAAATGTTTGTTCTTGAGTTCCTAAAAGCTGGTTTCCATATGATTGCTACGAGTGCTACAAAACAATGTTCAGTGATCGTAGTGATCATGTGGAAACCACTCCCCAGCGATGGAAGGTATCGTGGCGATCGATAGACTTAAATTATCTCTCAACGATCGCTGCGATGATATGGAAACCTGCCTTACTGGTTGCCATGCATTCCAGTTCTTGTAACGTTATGAGAACTGGTGGTTCAGCAATGCAATATTGACAGGTTTATGATTTCTTTGTTATTGTACCCTGTCTGCCAGATATTGTATTAACAATGTAACAAGGATTCCGTTGTTGATCACTGTTCGCAAGTAATGAAGTCCTTTCAATTCTGATTCAGAGCCACCCATGTTAATGGTTGGGACACAGCAGGGACTTTACACAACAGACCTGCTCAACACGTCGACATGGAGACGCATTGAGGCCAAGAATATCGTGTCATTGGACTTTGGCTCGACCCCAAACTTGATTTACTGGACAGACGGAAAAAGAATAAACCGGTTTTCAATGCATAATGGCGTCAGTAAAGATATGCCTTTTGGTCGCGATGACGTCATCTCTGTGGAAGATCTGGCTGTTGATTGGATAGGAGATAAAATATACTGGATTGACGCCATGCATGATGGGATTTACATTGGAGATCCACCGAGCGGAAGAAAAGTAAAAATCGTTGACGAAAATCTCTATTCACCGAGAGCGATTGTCGTGAGCCACTCTGAAGGGTAATCACAGATTGCTAACTTTTCTTTAGCCGTCTCGCGTCGCTGTTGCCTCTTCCAGGTGTTTAGTTAGTGGGAACGCAGCGCAAAACAAAACAAAAAAAAAATACGGTTGAGGGAAAAAAGGGGAGAGAGGTTTGATGCGCCGCGCTTCTCTGCTATTTCCATTTTCCGCGCTGCGACAGCTAGTGCTGCTTTTGTTCTAACAAGCGTTTCGCCGGCAAACTACTGCGAAAAAGTTAGTGATTCACAGTTCTTGGTAGAAGAACATAACATCGTGGAAAACTTAGCTTTTACTCGTGAAAGTGTAATATTCAATAGTTTTTAGTCATGTTGAACGATAAAAAGTAATGGACTCCCGCACAGAGCAATATCAGATCGAAATAAATGGCTGTTTGAGCTCAACAGATGTTAGACGAGGGAGTGAGAGGTTGAGGGTACAGTTGCAAATCAGTTGAATGTTGCACCAGTAGCACTGATATTAGAAGCTTGAAAGTAGAGAATTAACTCTGAAGTTATTTTAGAGTCCTGGAAATTAACCCCAGTATTTCCTTGTGAGGGTTAGCCTTACAAAAGAAATTGGCGTCCACACAAGGTAAATAAGTATTTTTTGATCTCGGCAAGATTTGAGTTAGAGAGGATTGAAATTTTGATGCTCCTTTTGATAATACCGTACGCCTTTTCTTGCAGTTATATGTACTGGACGGACTGGGCCCGAACGCCAAAAATCGAACGCGCAAGACTGGACGGTACTGAAAGAAGAGTGTTCATAAGCAATGGGATCCAGATCCCAAACGGCCTGGCACTCGATGAATCAGACAAGAAACTCTTCTGGGCAGGGAAAGACTTAAATGGATACGGCATTATAGAAGCTGTTTCACTGGATGGACTAAACCGCAAGGTTATTTTCCGCCGTTCAGGTTATCACCCGTTCAGTTTGGATATTTTCCAAGACTTTGTTTACTGGAGTGACTGGGACAAGAATGCGGTGTTGCGCATTAACAAGACTGGTGGGGGTGGAGACGACGTGATTGTAAGTGGTCTAAACAAGCCAATGGGATTAAAGATTCTTCATCAGCGTGAAGAAAAACATGGTAAAGAAATATGAATTACAAACAGAGTTCTACTCCTTTCCTTTGCAGGGCTCCAAGAGGTGTTTTAGCAGATATCAAATGAGAGTTTTTAGAAACAATATTTAGCACAGTCTATCAACAGCTTTTGTTGCTAGCTGTTGCTTTGCAAACATTTTTTCTCGTTTCTCATTAAATGCCATTCATTTGTTTCTCACCCTCAGTCTCAGGCCTTGAGGTGGAAAGCGACTGACATTTCAGACTGGTGAAAGCAGTTTTGGATTTTCGCTTATCATCTTTATATTTCTACATGCCTTTAATAATCGTTTCCTTTCTTCATGGCTTATTTAGTTGCCACGATTATTTACTGAGGTCTTTTTCAAAATGCATCTCATAATCTTGAGCTGACTGAATAAGTCTCCGTCCACACTAAGCCGGAGAAATTTGAAAACGGAGGTTTCACTCTGAAAACGGATCGAATGTTTTGCGTCCACACTGCACAGGAGAAGTGTTTGGGGAAAACTCTGGTAGGGAAATCAAATGATAATCGTGACTGCATCGTTTTCGAAAAGAATGTTTTCCATCTACACCAAAACGCAAAGCCAGCCTTTTCAAGTTTCTCCGGTTTGAAGAGCGTTTTCGAAAAGCTCCGTTTTCGTGACGGATTAGTGTGGACAGTAGGCCTAAACATAGAAATCAAGCTGCGTTTTCAAATTTTTCAGGAGTAGTGTGGACGCTAACTGAGAAACTGTTTTGCTTTCATGTCCAGGGGTAAATCCTTGTGAGAAAAGCAATGGTGGATGTGAACATTTGTGCGTGTACCTGCCGTCTCTGGGAATGAGATGCCTTTGTGAAGAAAACTTTAAACTCAATGCGAATGGTAAAACTTGCGACAAATTAGAACTTCAAGGTAGGTTCAGCTCTCATTATTACTTATACGGGTTGGTTTTATTCTTCAGAGATTTGGGATTTAAGACTCTATATCTTAGCTATAGCTAGCTGTTCTTGTAAAGAATTTTTATTTGCTCCCTTTTATTTTAGTTGTTTTTGAGCGTTATGTTTTGATCTTATCTCTGAAACAAGGTTTTTTCATTTAAGCATTTGTGTATTTCTTCTTATTTGCTTGTTTGTTCGGTTTGCTGACTGACTGAATAAATGACTGACTGACTGGCTGACTGACTGACTACTTGACTGACCTACTGACTGACTAACTACTTGACTGACTGACTACTTGACTGACTGAATGACTGACTGAGTGATTCACTGACTGACTACTTGACTGACTGATTGATTCACTGACTGACTGACTGACTTCTTGAATATATAACTGACTGGCTGACTACTTGAATGATTGAATGATTCACTGACTGACTGACTGACGGCTTGACTGACTGATTGATTCCTTGACTGACTGACTGACTCGAGACTGACTGACTGACTGACTGACTAACTGACCGACTGACTACTTCACAGACTGATTGACTGGTTGCCTGCTCTAGTGACTGACTGACTGATCACATCATTTACGCTGCATTTTTTTTCTTTAGGAGAGAACAGAAACACGGCCCCCACGCTGGTTGTAATATTGTTGATTGCCATCTTACTTCTGGTAGTGTTAGGCTTAGTCATTTTCTTGCTCAAGAAACGCTGCCGGCCTTGCCAAACGTCACAAGACCTGACAAAACGGTCGACAAATCCTGACGATGTACATGAAGATGGCGAAGAGTCGCTTGAACTCACTGACCAAACAGAGCTCGGGCGCGCGGTCCCAGATTCTAATAACGAGTCATCCAATTTGATTGGACAAGATAGCGGCGAACCCTCAGGTTCAGTGCCAGCATGTGGCGATTCGTCAGTCACAGTAAGTACGATAAAATCAACTATGTTTTTACTTCACCAAGCGTTCACTACACTGTTTATATAATATACCAACTACCCTTAATATATCAAATAATTTATATCTTGCCTTAGCGAGTAGCCATCACAAAAGCGATTCTTCTTCTACCTATTTCCCAGTCCCTTTTTGGGATCGTCACGCGTGACAACCCCAAAGACCTACTGTATAAGAAGCTAGTACCTTTATCCTTTACTTCCTGGTTTGTCACGCAATGTTCCATTCTTACGTGGCAAGCCCAGAGGAGGGCTCAGTGTGGGTTAGTACTTAGAGAGTTAGCTTTAAGGACATTTCAGTGGAAACGACACTGTGTCTGAGACTAAATAGATAACTGACCTTTACTTAGCTTTGTGAAAATAAAATGTTTTCTCTTTCTTTCCTTCCGCTTCTGTCGCTAACCGACGTTTCTTTTGTTTAGTTGCCGAGAGTGGTGGTTCACGTGGAACAACATGGCGGAGTGACAATTGTGGGAGATGATGCCAAAGTTCATCATCATTATTCACCACAGAGTTGATGTATTACACCTGAGGAACTGATTTAGTCTAGAGAGTTAATGCGTCACCGCGGAAAATTGACTGTCTATGCAGTATCCGCCAGAACACAGTCTCCGTATTATAGAGGTACATGTGAAGTCTGTTTTATCTGGCCTGGACCAAGTGAATTGTCAATAATATATAGAGGAGTTGAGAAGGAAAAGTTTGACTGTACCATACCAAGTAGTTAGTAGAATGTGAGCGGCTTTGGCTTACAAATTAGTGGCTTGTTTTTAATATGAAGAAGGACTTAAAATGGACTCACGAAAAAACAAAGCGGCGACGTTATTTTCGAGAAAGTGAAGAGACCTTCGTATGAAAGAGGCAATTGTTTTTCCAATGATAGTCTTTCTCGATGTCTGAGTTTCTTTTTAGCCTTGGTTACCGTACCCCATTAGCTCTTTAAAACTAACAAAACGTCGGATAGATGATAACAATAGACGAGGAGAACAGGACTTGGGACACAAATCTCTCTTGTGTTGTTCTCTTCATAGAGAGGATTCTCTGCCTCAGAGTTACTCTGTGGGCACAGGTTCGTTTTGAAAATGGTTCCTTTACTGGGTCTCTTTAGAGACAGAGATGATTATTCGTCCTTCAACACGCTTTGAATCATATTTACAGGCGAACCAATCTCAGATTTGAATACGTTTTACCGAATGAATCTTTGAAGATTTATTATCAATCGGTGTAATCGTATGTATACCAAAATTCTCGATTCTGATTGGTTCTGCGCACGCCTATCTGTGGCGTAGTTGGTGCGTAATTACGTGAGTGTCCAATTATAGCCGTAGGCCAGTCCCGATTGTGCTCGTAAAATGCTGGAACGTTGCTCACTGAAATGCCAAAAAGTTGCTAAAAAATTGCCGAAAATCATAAAAGTTGCTCTCTAAATTTCAAAAATTGCCACCTAAATCTCTTGATATTTTTATATAAACGTTAATTTAAAGCTTTATTTTTCGTTCTTCACGATAATTGTTAACACCTAGCTTTAAAGGCTTGCTGGCAAATATGGGCGAAATTTAAGGACACTAACGGAACAGAACACATGGTTTATTTGGCGTCTTCCCGAACGTCAAGTGGCAGGTTATGTGCCCAAACTTCAAAAAGTTGATAAACATTCAAGAAATTCGCATAAATTGAAGTTTTCTATGAAATCGTTACCTTTTTCGTGCTCGATATTTGCTCTAAACCTATATTTTGCTCAAAAGTTGCTCAGTAAGGCAAAACTTGCTTGAGGTTGCATACAGGTTATATGTATCCTATTTCAACGTTAATTTGTCATTGGACACCTAAGTTACGTTAGCCTATAAAAACTTGCGGAAAACACTACTGACTTTTCGCTCAACTTTTGAAATTTGTTATTGTTTATATTGCTATTGTTTATCTAAACTATATAATACTGTTAACTGAAGTAACAGTAGCTCGCCTACCATTAGCTTTGCTAGCTGCGACCTACTAAGGCTTGTAATCCAATTTAAAAGTTACTGTTGATCGTAATTTAGTCATGCAATTAATTAGTAATTGGTCCTCAAGTCGTACAATTCAGGGAGAAACTGTGCTCGTAATTGAAAATCGGTCTCTCGCAGCGTGCGCGTCCTATTTTGAAATTACTCGCTCGATTACTTCTTGATTTGTACTCCTCTCGGTTCAATTACTGTTACAAACAATTTTTATACACCACCAGAATGCAAGGTAGCAGCTGCGTGTGAATAATTTAATATATTTCAAGTTCCTTTGCTTTTATACCAATTTTGTAAGTACCACTGCATTGTTTAAGTCTGTGCGCAAATGTCCTCTAATCCTTTCCATCTTCGTCCATGCGTTATTTCTTCCTCTGAAGGTGGCTTATTACAGGTCTGTACTGTAAGCTATGGTCCGTGATTTCTCTCCAATCGACAAAAGCGCAAAGCGGGCGGCTATATCACAGGTGACCAGAGCGTACCATCAGAGTTTGTATGGAGATCTATAGGAGTTCATACGGATTGGAAATTTGATTGAAAGCACTCAAAACTATCTCTGTTTTTCCTTGAAAAAGCCACTATAAAGTTTGAACCCGCCTTATCCATTTTCTGCCGTTCCAGCTTTTCCAGTGCATGCCATTTGAGCGAGTTTGGTTTTAACGGTCTGGTACTTATCGAACAAGCACGCTTAGGTCATCACCTGTGACTATATATCCTTTATGTGATCGAGAAAACGACTTGACTTAAGATATCGACCGTGCAAACTAGTAGGTTAATTACACGTTTATTATATGGACCTGTACGTTTTAGGAATTTCGATCGCTGTGCTTGTCCAGTCGAGTTCCTCATCGAGAATTACGGAGCGAATGTTACAATCACAGCGTGCGAAACATAAAGAAACATAATTTCAGCATGTATATATTGTATAAAATATTTTACTTTGTTATTAAATTTTATCTTTTAACTTGTCTTTTAATTTCGTGTGAATTCGCCAGTACGTTACAGGGACGTAGCGACCATATACGGACGTACTCATCTGCGAACCTGCGGAAATCCAGAAAACAATATATTTATAGACGCAAGCATCTCTAATAGTGAAATCAGCTGGTTTGACAGCCTCTAGTCTCTGCTATTAAGACCACTACAATTATCCCAAAGGTTAACACATAAACAGCATATTAAGTTACCAAACACTCGACGTTACTCCATGTCTTGATTTATGAAACTTTTCGCTAGAAAACACGGGTAATGGCATTTCCGAGCTCGTAAAAAATAAAATATTGTGTGATATTAAAAACTCTTTCATGGATGCAAAGAGTGGTTTACAATATCTGTAGCGTTCGATTGCTATGCAGGAAAAGAATATAACAGGTCAATTAAGTAACGTTACGAACCCATAAATCCCTGGTCTAAAGATATATAATTTTTGTGTGTGCGAAGCTCACATTAAGTTGGCAGCCAGAAGTCTCTCTGTCTACGAGAGTCACGTGATCGAAAGGAATTCTACTAAGATGACTGGGCATTAGATCCTATAGATGAGAGGATTGGGTGCTAGTTGACCTGTGTGCGTTGATTTTCTGCCTCCTTTGAGTTGGTCGCTTCGCTTTTGTGTACCATTTATCGATTTTAAGATACTTCAGTTTTATTTTCCCAGCTTTCAGTTGACAAGGTAGGTTTTTTTTCTTTTATAGCTGGTTTTGAGATGCGTGCGTTGTCTGTTTGCATGTATCCTTCGTAATTTCGTATTTTAGATTATGCTTAATTGCTTGTCTGTTTTCGTTTCTCGAAAATCCAGCTTCCTAATTTCGTGTAGGCTTTGAAAATATTAATTGCAGTTCTATTGTTTTATTGATAGCTTTCTTTTATCATTCCTTCAGGTGCCCATAACGGGAGTTATTTTGCTCAGACAACCAACATATCAAGACTCGGCTTGTGGTTAGTGCAGGTTGCAAAGGGGTTGGTACGCTTTCGCAAGCTAAAATTTATCGGCCTGAATGTCCGGTGTGGGTTGCCCTATACAGCGAAAGGAGTCATTGTACTTTCTCAAGCCAATATCTCGCTGGCCAACATTTAAATCTGCTTGAATTGACTGATGTAGGCAGCACTTAATTCTAAGTGAGACATCTTTGTCAGGGATTGTCAGAAACTCTCAGAAACTGAAAAAAGACTGTATTGCACTTGCATTGTACTTGCATTGTTAGAAATACACTTGAACAGTGTTTACAGTCGTCCTGTTGTTGCTTTTTCGAGATCAAAAGTTAGTATGCGAATCTCGGTTAAACAATACCGGTCGAGGATCGGCTTTCATAACCATTTCGTGAATGCAAAGGATGCCTTATCGCGTTTTAAGGATCAGTGCTGGAATATGGTACGCGTGGCGCCAATGACGGGTAACGATGTCGTATTGTGGAAAATTTGCTACCAAAAAAATTACTTGCGAGTGGTTTCCAGAATAACTAGCTTGTTTGTTTTAACACATTTCTGAGTAAAACACTTGCCACAACACACTGGATATCAAAACAAATACTGTAGAGGGATTATTAAAGTTTAAGATAAGAACACTACTCCAAATAACTAAAATACTATTTTCTAATTGAAATTTCTCAAATTACTCCAACTGTGATTGCACAAATGTCACTGTGTTTTAAAATGAGGTTAAAAAGCTTGCCTTTGAAAAGTGTGTCTCAACACTATTAAAATAGTATTGACAAGGTTAAGGGCTTTAATAAGATCGATAAGGGTCAATTCATGCTTCTCAGGTTCTCATACCCACCTCGGGTATTTTATGTAGCACGATATTTTTATTTCGCATATAATAAACCAAAGACCTTGAATGATGTAAAAAAGCTCCCTTGCTTTAAAGGTCTTTCACAACTGAAAATATTTCTCGTCAAAAAAAGGCGCAACACTGCGGCAACGGTCCAGAGGGACGTAACAGCGGTGCGAACGGACTCACGTAAGCTGACTACCCATTGTCTGAACACATCTGCAAATATACTCTGCGTTGCAGGCGTATAACGGGGAAGGGGTAGAGATCAGGTGGCAAAAAACGCGAGAGAGTAGGGGAAGGAACAGCGCCCTATCACGACAAAGAAGCCCGTTTCCAATAAGCAGCCCAGTTTAATTTCCTCAACCCGTAAAATTCCAAAAAGCAGAAAAGAGGCTTCGCACACACAAGTACGAAGTGCGGACCTATTTTTGTAGTAGTTGGCCGGTGGTATCCATACAGTATTTCCTTTGCTCAGAACAACACGTCGGAAATTTATGTCACGTAGGAAAGATTTTTGCTCTTTAATAGCTTTTGTGAATTCAGTTTGATTGGCAGATGTCGTACTAAGTTCCATTTTTAAAGGCTTTTGCGCGATGTCCTATAACTTCCTTACCCCCTCCCTGAATCTTCCGCTACTCGACCCTTCTAATTTCTAAAGAACGAAGGCGGGGAGAGAGCCCGTGCTACCGACAGCTGACCAACATGGCGTCTTGCACAGCAGCGAAAAGACGAGCATCCCGACAGAAAGCGGCAAATAATGTCATTTAAAGTGCTCCAATATGCAAGCTTGCGGCCAATATCATGCTACACGTGTGTGAAAACTCTTTGTACACCGCTGACCGCTACAAAGTGAAAATGTTGGATATTGCAGACTCCTTTTCCCACGCACTTCGACATGACGTGACAGGACGTGACATCATTTGGGAAATCACGTAAGTTGCATGGTGAGTAGCCGCAATGATTTCTCAGTCTTCTATCTGTCCTTCTCATAAAACCAGGCACAGCTTTCACCAAATGTGCCAAAGGTTTGTTTTCGAAGAATCTCGCAGGATTTTGCGCGGTTTGCCTTGAAAGCATCTGTCGAGCAAATAAAATGCAGTAACATTTGCAAATTGATATTTATTTCATTTTTTCCTACCACCCTGAACTTGATGTAATGTTTGTTTTATTATTACTGCTTGTTTTAATTAAAGATGGTACAGTGAAACCTGTACTAAGTGGACCCCCTATTAAGCAGACACCCTCTATTAAGTGGACACTAGCTTGAGTCCCAAAATTTTCTTTCTACATTTACTGTAAAATAAACCTGCATTCAGCGGACACCTCTGGTAAGCGGACGCGGACATCAATATCAAGCCATTTTGTTGCACAAAACCTGCAATAAGCGGACACTTCAAGGGCTTTTTCCTTTTGAAAGCTCAGCTCGGACTCCTTTAACATCGTTCAGCGATGTCGTTTTTAAGCTAAGTAGATTATTCCGGATTGATGCATTGACTGACTGGACATTGTGCTACGAGCAGTCTTTGATCATTCACTGTGTTACACTGTGTTATAAAAGGGTTAATGATTAGCTATTATTGCTGAACCTGTTTAGAGAGGATACCCTGTATTGAGCGGACACTAGTGAGGGTCCCAAGGTGTCCGCTTAATACCGGTTTCACCGTAATTGAAATTTTCACCTTAAGTCAGGGTTCGTCGAATACTGGCTTTGGGGAAAATTGGTGCGATGCCTGGAACTAACATGCAAAACTCGACTTCCGGTTGATGTGTACTTTTGACGCCTGTTCGTGTCGCCCGCGGTGAGGCAATCGCGAGCGTGTTCATAATGCCAGTGTTTCTTCGTTACTTTCATTGCTTAATTTTCTGAAGGGTACAAATACCATAAATGATGACACTCCAACTTATTCCTTGTTCGATTTTCCGTAAACAATACCTACACTTACAATCAAAGGAGAAGACAGCTGGAGAAGAGTGTCGGAGGTCTGCACCCGTCCGCCATCCAGGAAATTTCAGGTAAGCTAAATTTGAGCTTATTTGTGAATTTGAATCGGTCTCACTGATTGTTCTGGCATTTATTGCATTTCATTTTCCCGTTGATTTTATAGGGGCTCAGTAGGAGGTCAGCTGACCGGGGGATCAATGTTTTACGTTGTAAGTTGTTTACCACGGCTTCGACACGGCTTCGACACGGCTTCACTGATTCTTACGCAGCAAGAAGCGAAAGAGACTTCTAAGAGTGCTAGTTGATTAATACTGTTGACGATAGTAGTCAGTCCCAACTGTTAATGTAGGATTTTCCTGTTTTCTTTCCTCCTGATGAGTAAACAATTAAGTAAACAATTTCGCAATTGAACCGCACGTGGACATGACATGACATGATACTGGACCTCTCTCAATGTACTTTCACCATCGCCACGCTAGATATCGATACCTGATTGCTCTCGAGGGAAGCTCTCATCTTGTATTGTAGTGGAAACACGTTTCTATCGAAAAGAAAGCTCGCATTACGAGGGAAATCTAAAGGCCGACGGGTCGGTTTATGCTTTATGTCCGCTGCACCATGTCTGACGTCATTTTGAGTGTATTCACAAGACTGACAATCGTCGCAACAGGAGTTGGAGTTTCTTCCTCTTCGTTAGGTGAACGCTTTTTACAGACGTTTTTACTGTAGACAGGAAGCTAACTTGAATTAAGCCTGTTTGACACTTTGCTGGGTTTCTTTGCGGTCAATGATCGAAATGTATATCTCTGCTGATGAATCGCATAGTTATCACTTGATAGATTAAGTGTCGTAAAACTAAACCAAATGCTTACCAATTATACTACTCAGCCAATCTCAAAGTGTAGTAAAACTAAAACCAAAACCAAAGTAATTGCCTGATTACTTTCGACACTCAACTGAAAACTTCTCTCTCTAACGGGCCGATGTAATTTTTTAACAGTTTAACGTAAGTTGTGTTTTAAGAAACTTTCCACCTTTAAAGTGGGTTATATCGTAAGATAGTTCATAAGATAGTTTTGAGGAGCTTGTTTGTTTTGTTGCTTGTTTTTAATACGACCTCACCAAGTGGCTTCAAGTCAACGTTCGAGCGTTTGAAGAATGCACAAAGAGGGTGGTGAATAGGTGCGATACACTGAACCAAACATGGCGGATCATGAATCAGCTGTGAATTTTGGCCTGGACTCCGGACTCTACTTGTTTTGCTGGTCGGATTGTGGATTCTCAGTCACGAAGTTCAGATCATAGACCTTTGGTCGGCTAATGTCGTTATTAGCGTTTTATCCACTTTATTTCTTTTTTCGGACGAGACTCGAAATTTAAATTCGGGTTCGGCATTGTTATTGGAATTGTGTAATCCTTATCTTACAGTTTTCGTGCACTTTCACACAAAACTAAGTGGCATATCTGTTAATATTAGGAATTGAGTTAGTGTACGATGATTTCCTACCCTGTGTGTCAGAGGATTTTCTTCCCCGGTTTCCGGTGTCGGTCATGTCTCTATTGTGACCCGCTCGAAGCGAATTATTTCCGTCCGCCGCGCGCAAGAAAAAAACCTCTGGTACCCAGGGTAATGATTTCCAAAATAAGCCGAGAACCTCCCAACCTGTCCGTGACTATCCTGGATTGTCCCCGGGTGTCTCAAAAACTTCCAAAAAAGTCCTAAAGCAGTTTCTATGTAAGAGAAACTTGTGTCTAGGCCAATATGTCACATAATACAACAACTTTTCGTGTTTTTCGTATAACAAAATTCCACCTCCATAAATCAATTTAAGAATCTGTTATAAACTCATCAAAATGTGTGCCTCCAAACCTACCAATTTTTTTGCAAAAACAATGAATGCTCGGGGGTGAGCGTTCTCCCTTGCCATACATTTCGTTATAAAACTGGAAAGTTAAGGCTCCTATATTTTCATGTGTTTGCAACGGATTCTTATGCAACTTCGCATACTTACTAAATTCGGCGTGATAAATTGAGAGATGAGGTTATTTTTTTGTTTGAATTAAAAAAAAAAAAACAAAACTAAACGAAAAAGCGCGACATCGCAGAAATGGTCTACTGGTGTGCATTTTATCGGTGCTTTAGATAATGCTGTAACTGCTTTCGATATCAAAAGCCCACAATATGCGATTATTTCCTTTCCTAGTTCATACCTGACCGAAAAATGGATACCTTATCTCAGATCTAGACTGAACTGCTTTTCTTTAGGTAAACATCATGACAAGGGCTTCGAATACCTGATGTTTATAATTATACCTCACTTCTCGATCAAGAGATGAATGACAACAATGATAGAGTGGTTTTCAACTGAGTTTCGCAAAACCAAAACCAAACCAATGACTTGCTATTTAGACTACTCAGCCAATCCCAAACCGTAGTAAAACTGAAACCAAAACCAATGGAAAGTAATTGCCTGGTTACTTTCCCCACTGCTCTAAAATACCTAATTCTAACCAGTGTGCACAAACCATACCCTATTGCAGACCAAAATGGTCGAAACAACCTATTTCAGACAAAAGGACTCAAAACCCATGCTATTCCCCACCTTCAAGGGCACAAAAATCGTTTTTTCTTTTATTTGACAAAATTTAAGTCAGTCATTTTATCTAAAGTTTAGAAAAGAAAAAATTTAGAAATCTCAAAAAGCGGCCGATTTAATTAGAAAAACGTATTTTCAAATTAAGTTAATAACCAAGGAAGGTGTCATAATCGCTTAAAATGGACGAAACCGCCAGGGGAAATTTTCGGGGCAAACGCTCATCTTGGAGAACGTATTTCAGGTTATTTGGCATTGTTTATAACGCGGAAGGGAGGTTAACAGGTGAGACTGGTTGAGTTAGTTACTGAGATGAAAGACCGTCTCTTGTTGATGGCGTGACTCTCATGGGAATAGGTTTGTCACGCGAGTCACGCAAGTCTCATGAGAGGTTTCTCTGTTCTAGTCAAAATTCGCCTTGATAAAGCGTAAATGATTTAATCTCGCCAGTAATCCTGAGAACGCAGGTGCGTTTTAATTTTTCTCATTTAATTTCACTGGCAGGTTTACCTTTAGATAGAAAACCCAGAAAAAAAGACGAGTTTTTTTGATTGAAATGCTGTCAAATTCTAATCCTGTATTTTATTGATTTTCAGAAAATACTTCACCCAGTCAACGTGACAGGCAATTTCCAGTTTTCCTTCAAGAACCACCATTTATACCCTATTATGTGACGCACAACAAATCAGTTAACCTGACTTGGGTGGCAATGAACGTCTGTAGAATTCAAATCAAGTGTAACGGCAAGAAATTTAAAGATAGACTCTTTAGAGTGTGTGGGAAGTCTTGTCGGAGCTGTAGAACAAGGACAAAGACTAAGATAGTGACTGTTGCTGATTTTCCGAAGGCTGTGAGGAATATAACGTGCAGGTGCAAAGTGTGGGGGAAGAAAGCTGTTCGACAGTCTGATATAATACTTGTCGACAAAGCTTGTAAGTATTAATTCAAGATTGTCTGTAATCGACTTAGGTAAGAGGGGGGCATTTGACTTTTGACGGAGAGGATGGATGATTTTGCACACGACCGCTCCCGAAAAAAAATTCACTCACGTTCACGTTCTTTGCCTCTCGCCAATTTTTTGATATAATGAGCAATTAGATTATGCGCTCGAGATTTCTTTGAGGTGATTGTTGATAAGGCCGGGGAGAACGATTTCATACCTTCAGGATTTAAAATTACTGGGTAGGTACTGTTTAGGATGTGTAAATCTAAAGTTACTCTTCTCAGTACGTTTTAGGAGATTAAGCCAGAAAACAATTCAGCAAGCTCAGAATTGGTCACGAGTTCAATTGAATTCGAGACACTTCCAAAAACTGAAACGAGATAAAAGGGCTTCCTAGTATTTCTGTTGCATTTTCTTCAGTGAAAAATGTTTATTGAGGCTGCATTTTATTCTTCTTTCAGAGCAATTTGAATAAAACAGGATCTCCCAAATTAAAATGAACCGGACCCAAGATTAAAAACGGACACTAATTTCCTTTTTCCAGATTTTTATTTATCCTCAAGTCGATTATTCTGCTCGTAGTGACTTTGATTAATCTTGATCTCTTTAATATCTTGTAGTTCTTCGCCGTAATTTTGGCACAGTTCAGTTGTATCACGTGGTACCTCCCAACTCAACTGTGGTCTTAAAATGTAGGCCTCCATACGGTTCACCTCGACCAAACATCACGTGGTACAAGATTGGCAAGCCATCGCTTTTGCTTGGGCATGATGGCAGGCGTCGCATCCGTTTGACTTCAAAGAAAAACTTAATCATCAAGCGCGTTCAGATGGGGGACTCGGGCGAGTATCAGTGTGTCGCGAGGAACATGGCGGCAAGACGAGTAGGCCCGGTGATCAAACTTGACGTTGGAGGTTTGTCCTTTGTTGGAAAGTCATTACATAATGCTACAATCCTCCTCTCACGAATTGCGCCTGGATAAACAAATCAGAACAAGAAGCTAAAAGGAACGGCCATTGGTCTCTCCACAGACTCTCTATTTTGTCTTGAGTTCGCTAGCAAAAGTATCAACCGCAGGGGAATTGAAAAAACCCGAACCCCAGGGGGTTTGTCTCTCCCCAGGGAGGGAGTGACAATTTTTTTTTTCTTACGCTTTGCGACCGCTTTCACGCTCCACGCTCAAAGAAAAATAAATCGGAGCAAAAAAAAAAAACAAAGCAAAAAATCTGTGGAGAGACTGCCATTGGTCTACTTTTCAGCCGGTTCGTGCTTATCAAGATCTCATTACAGTATATACCTCTTATAATTACCTTTAAAAAGTAGGTGGTTGGTTCTCGAATTTTCAGTCATTTTGAGTGAGGCTGTGGCATGTTGTGAACGTTAGGTTTATATCGGAATCAGTTGTCAGTCTTTCTTTGATTTTCTTTACCGGAGTTAAGTTATCAAATTTAAGTACTACAGACGTGCAAGAAAACAATCGTCTAATTTCGGTACTCGTGTTTTCAATTTTCCACCCATGAATTTATGACTTCATTTGTAAATTTTCCAGCGCATTTGGACTCGGTCATAAATTCCAAAAAGAGACAAAGGTACGGAAGAAGGAATAAGCCACCGTGTGATGGCTGAATTCTTGCAGAGATTTTTCTAATTTTGATTCACCTTGTCTAATTATGATACTTTCAGCAATTTAGCATTTTTCTATACTTTCTGATCGTTAGAGAACATCTCCACCGCTGATTGTCCAGTGCACCAGTGGTCGTGTACAGATCAGTATTCACCAGAGTGTCAAAATGGAAGCAACCGATCATTAATATGTGGTATGTACACATACTGGTTTCACCAGCTTACCTACATTTTAAAACGTTTCGCTAGTTTGACCAGTTTGACCAGTTTGACCAGTTTGACCAGTTTGAC